TTATGCGTTGATGCAGAAGAATCAAAACGCTTAATGGAGACCATCCATGGAGGAGAGTGCGGAGCGCATATGAACGGGGTAATGTTAGCTCGGAAGATCCTCAGACAGGGTTACTACTGGTCCACCATGGAGGAGGATTGTATCGGCTTTGTTCGGCGATGCCACAAATGTCAGATCCATGTAAACCGCATGAACATCTCGCTGTCGAAGCTGTACAATATGACTTCGCCATGGCCATTTTCAGTTTGGGGGATCGATATGATCGGGGTCGTCACTCCGAAGGGGTCTAATGGGCATGAGTTCATTCTGGTCGCGATAGATTATTTTACGAAGTGGGTCAAGGCCCAATCTTATGCGGTGTTGAAGGCTTCGCATGTTACGAAGTTCATCAGGAACAACATCATCTGTCGCTATGGGGTCCCAAACGAGATTATCTCAGATAATGGTTCCCACTTCAAGAAGGAAGTGATTGACTTGTTGGAGAAATACAACGTGGCTTTTCACAAGTCATCTACATATCGGCCGCAGACCAATGGAGCAGTCGAGGCCGCCAACAAGAACATCAAACACATTTTGCAGAAGATGGTGGAAACCTACCGGGACTGGCCAAATAAGCTGCCATTTGCTCTGTGGGGCTACCGGACTTCGATTAGAACTTTTATTGGAGCGACTCCATATTCATTAGTTTATGGGATGGAGGCCGTTCTACCTATTGAAATTGAGGTTCCGTCATTGAGAGTGCTGGTTGAGTGTCAGATAGCCTAAGCAGATTGGCAGCAGAGCAGATTTGAAGAACTCATGCTCTTTGATGAAAGAAGACTGAAAGCACTGTACCACGTTCAAGGTTATCAACGAAGAATCGCCAGGGCTTTCAACAAGAAGGTTAAGTCCAGAAATTTGAAGGAAGGAGATTTGGTGCTCAAAGACAACCGAGCCCCCATCCATGACCCTAGGGGCAAGTTCAGACCCAATTGGACTGGTCCCTACATCATTAAGTCTATTTGGTCGGGTGAAGCTAACGTTCTGATGGACCTAGATGGCCTAGAGTTCTCACAGCCGATCAACATGGACAAGTTGAAGAAATATTACCCCTGGGAGGCTCGCTAGGCCGAAAATCCGAAAGGGCGACCTAGGCAAAAGTTAGAGCGCAGAAAATTTGAAATTATAAAAACTGAGCTCGCAAAGTTGAAAACTTGAGCCGAACTACGTAAGGCTTGATTCCTATCTTTGGGATACGTAGGCAACTTCATCCTGGAGTCCAGCCATAAAATTTTCCCCGTGATTCCCATCTTTGGGATACGTAGGCAACTTCATCATGAAGTTCAGCCATAAACTTTTCCCCGATCAACTTTGTCCATTTGATCATCTCTGTCATCTTTGTCTATTCAGCATTCAAGAGTTCGGTTGTGATCTCCGGTGCAGTGCTATTCAGACTAAGGGCAACTTTCCAGTTGCTGGGATCCGGGGTTGCGTATCTGAGTGACAGATCTCATGCGTGTCCAGTTCTGATCCATATCGAAAATGGTTTTGAAAAGTTTTAATAAAAGTTGATTTTGTTCAAATTAATATTTTTACAACTTAGACCATTTTTGGACCAAAGCGGAAAGTTTTCAGTATCCACAACTTTCAATTTTCTTGATTTCAATACAGAGTCCTCTTGCTCTTGCATACAAATTGAAGTTGCTTTTGGTTACATTCATAAAGAAAACTTGAAAGTACTAATAAAGCAATAAATCCGGGGCATAGCTAAGTCAGGTGTTCCTGTGCCCCCTTCCAGAGCTGGTCGAAGCTTCTGACGCCAAAGTAGGCCCAATCTGTGCCTCTTCATTGAGCCAATCTATGCACTCATCAGACAAAGTGTAACTGAAAGTGGGAGCGGGGGCCAGGAGTTTTCTCGTCCTCCATGCTGTGGCATATCGGGTAGGAATGGCAACGGGCCGGGGCGGGGCCGGGGATCATACTTCCCGTCCCCGATCCCCGATGGTAGAAATTTCCCCGTCCCCGTCCCCGATCCCCGATGGGGAGCCTATCACCGCCCCCGTCCCCGTCCTCTAACGGGGATCGGGTTTTCCCGACCCCGAAAATTCCCTGGCCAAAAAAAACAACCATAACAACAACATCCATATTCAACAATAGCAGATCTTATATATTCATCAACAACAACAATGTTCATCATCATCATCATATATGCGTAAATCAGATTAAATATGAAGTTTGAAAACAGATGTGTATAATGCAAACAAATTTGTGTATAATGAAACAAATCAAATATGTAGAACAACAAATCTGTGTATAATGAAAACAAATTAAAAAAGAAAATTATGTTTGATGAACAAAAATTAAATCAGTAATTTTTTTTTTTATTATGTTTCATCATCATCAACAACAATCATCAACTTAAAAACAAAAAAACACGGATCAGATCACAGAGAGAGATATGAGGTAAGGCGGTGGTGGTGGTGGATCTGGGTCTTGCACACACGGATCAGATCAGATCAAATCTGATCTCACGGCCGGTGGTGGTGGTGGATCTGGATCATGTGGTTGAGCAACTCCGGCGGCTGAAAGAAAGGACGAAGTCGAAGACATCACGGTGGAGATAGATGGTGCGATCAACGGCGAGATGAGAGAGAGGAGAGATAAGAGAGAGGAGATACTTTCAGAGCAGTGGGAGGGATGAGCGAGTGAAGCGATGAGAGAGAGGGGAAACAAGAGAGAGAACTGGGATGAGATAGATATATAAATATAATATCATATCATATAACCTAAACAGCAACCTAAAACACATATAATAATATTATATAGATAGATATAATATAATATACACATATATACACCTACGGGGAAGTTTTGGGGAAATTGCGGGGCGGGGCTGGGCCGGGGCCAGGGAAGGGAAACTTATCACCGTCCCCAGCCCGAAATTGACCGGGGATTTAATTTTGAATACCATCCCGTCCCCACGGAGGTATTTTTCGGGAAAAAACCATTCTAATCGGGATTGGGGGTTCGGGTCCCCGTCAGGCCGGGTTTAAATTGCCATCCCTAATACCGGGCAAGCTGTGTGCCTCGAACCGGGAATGCAGCAGGATACTCTATCCCCTCTGGCAGGCAAGTCCGATCATGGCCGAACTGGCACTGGAACCGGAAAGGAAAGTAAAAAACGTAGTGCGTCAGACCAATCAACTGAATCCCAGTCTGTCGAGACATGTTGTAGCTCATTGCCGGTAGATTGAGCCAAGGACAACGCCAAGCAATGCGGTCTGCAGCCAAATTGCACATCCAGGCGAACCACCATCCTTCATCCAGGGCATCGACTAGACGACGTCGGAAGAAGTAGCTGCGAGCTGAGTATGTTGGGCAAGGGTCCACAACCTGTAATTTGTCCATCAACCACACATGGGGAGGGACGAAAAATGAGAGATTAAAGAATAGAGAGGTGTACATTGAGAGAAAAGTGAGAAAAGGGTTTTGTGAGAAAAGCCGAGCCTGAGGGCCGAGTGATGTGAGCAATATATATGTGAGATAGGGTGGGAAACATTACCTGTAGAAGTAGTGGACTCCTCGCAAATCCAGTCGTCTCTCGGCGATGAAAAGCATCTAAGCCCATCAATGTCTCGGCCAATGACATGGCAATGCAGCTTTTGCCTTCCCTTAAGCCCTGGGCAACCTCAATCAACCGGACACTGGATCCTCCGGAGCCTGAGGCAAGCAAGAAATGAGATAGCATGCACAAACAAAGGGCATGTCGCTGAAAACCTTGCCAATGATGGTCACCGCGGTCACCGGCATCGGAAAATTGACAAATCAAACTCGGAATATCCAGTATTCCATCACAAATCAAAGATCGGGCGTCGTGCATAGTGAGTGAGCCCACACATTCGTCCTAAGGCTTGAGCATGGCCGAAACGGAGTTGGGGCAAGATCTCCTCGTTGCGCTCGGCCTCCATCAAAGCTTGGAAATCTTCGAAGGTAGGACACATCTCTTGCTCGCCAAAGCTAAATACATGTGTTACCGGATTCCAAACCTCGCCGCGGCATGGAGAAAGGGAAGATGCAGTGGAGTATGGCTCAACGTGAATAGTACATTCAAGCCGAAGCCCCGGAAGTTCAACTTTTCCGAGCCATCTAAAGTAGCAATCCAAGCTGCGAGATTTTCGATGAGGAATGTCTCCATTTTGATGCAAAACTGAGATGAAATGAAAGAACCACGAAGCTGGAACTTTTATAAAGGATAAGGCACTGTTTGGGGACATGTGTCAAAAATCTAGTGGTCGCCAAACTAGGTGGTCGGCCGACCACTTTTTCTGGTAGGCCGACCACCCCTTTGGTCTCCAAGGAAAATAGCTGGTCAGCCAGCCCCTTCTGGTGGTCGGCCATGAAGAAAAGTTGGTCTTTGGTCTGTTCCTAGTTTGTAGAAGAGAGATCATAACTTTTCCATGCGTTGGGAGTGTTGAAGGTCCGTGTTTTCCTCCGTTTCGGATGCGTTCCGTCACCACCAATTGTCCAAGATGCATTTGCTTATCGAGTTGTTGTTCTTTATTTATCGAGTTGTTGTTAAGTTTTGCTTATCGAGTTGTTGTTAAGTTCGTTTATCGAGTCGTTGCTTATCGAGTCGTTGAGTTTTGTATATCGAGTTGTTACTCTTTGTTCGATCAACATTGTCAGGATTTGCTTATCGAGTTGTAAACTTACTAAGGTTTTGTTGTTTCTTAGTAAGTTAAGTTGTTTAGTTTGTTGCGTCGGTTCACTAACTGACTTGGCAATTTTCGATGCTCAATTTTTATTCAATCTCATTTTTGTGCAAAATGATGCGATGCGATGCTAAGAACATAAAATACAACACTTTTTCAAAAAGCTGTTTCATTCCATCATGCTTCCTTTGTTACAACATTTTACAGCAAGAGTACAAGTTTTAAAGAAAATAAAACTGCCTAAAGCTAATGTGCTACAACTGCTAGTAAAAAAGGAAAAATAAAGCATGAACATCTGCATTAGTGCTATTAAGCGCAAGAATAAGAGGCCTTCTTCGTCCTCTTCGGCTGAATGACCTCTGCATCAGCCCCATCATCCGAATCGGAGCTGCCGTCTTCGGAACCCTCCTCGTCATCATCTCCACTCTCAGAATCGGAGCCAGAGTCCTCCTCCCTGCCTGCGGATGTCTCCGACTGAGGATGCGCCGACTCCTTCTCCTCGCTGGACTCCTTATCATTTATGATAGGTGCTCTGCGCCTGCCTCGTCTGCGAGACGAGTCCCCTCTCCCGGCTCCTCGAGAAGGCCTGGATGGCCCAGCCTGTAGTGGTGGCATCTAAAAAGGACAATTTGAGTACATTAGCCAACATGTATATCAGATGCAGAGACAAGAATGCTACATAGAGTGGGGGTATATAGATACAATGTATGAATATGGTATGTGTCAGATGTGCTCTACGCAATTAGTCAAACAATGCAGTGGAATCGTTAAATACAGCATGTCATCAGAAGTATGATAAATGCGAGAAAATTGAAAAATACCATAACACCGGCGATGAACAGCTGTGTTTCCCTCCGCAAGACCATGCCCTCAAGTGAGGCCACCAATCCGAGCAGATCATCAGAATACTCCCCGGGAGGCTGCAGATACAAGCTTAAATCATCAATGAGTAAATAAATGACTAAGTATCTGAGTGATAAATGAAAACAGTGGAATATATCAGTGGTGAGTCAGGATCACTAACATATCGGTGATCGGGCATAGGAGGCTCTATTGGAATCGGGTAAGATGACCCGTATTGCCATCCAGTCAACTAGGTCGGAAGATCTGGCCACTCGGCGTGCTGATAAGTCGGGGGAATCGAGGGAATCTGTCTAGCCCCAATCCTCGATGTGCCGGCCCTGCACCAGCTGCCCTCCTAGTAGGAGTACAGACACCCATCAGTAGGGGCATCAAGTACGTGTGGCAGTAAGTCGCATACTTCCCCTCCTCCGTGTGTAGAGCTGCATCGGTACCCAACATAGCAACATCGACCTCCTCGGGAGTGAGTCCCTCAGCGGACCACATGTCATCTGGAGGTGCTGAAGGGACACTCTGCTCAGGGACACCCATTGTCTGGCGCATGAAGCGATCTCCCAAAAACCAGGCCTTGCCAACTGGCCCCTCAAACAAAGTCCTATACTGAGAAGAAGCCCACGCCCTCGGGAACTGGAAACGAATATTTCCTCCCAAGGATTCCCAAGGCCGCCAAGCGATCTGGGATAACAAGTGCATGCGCCAATCAGATGTCATAAATATGCGAGATGAATCAAAGCTGAAAATATGAAGAACTGAGAGTTCGGAAGTACCTTGGTCGCTCGCACCGTGTCAAAAAACTATCGCAAGAAGGACAGAGTCTCTCGAGCCCTTGCCCAGCATCGACCCTTAAATACGTGAGAGTAAGGGATCGTAAGAGGCACCTCCACCTCGAACTCTGGGGCTAGCGTCGAAAAGTACGCGTAAACCCATAGCTGTGGAAAACAGGGCAGTGGCCATCAGAATACAGAATATACAGAAAATGCAGAATGCTAAGTATAGAATGTAGAGTACAAAATGTAAAGTGTGCCGTGAGCAGTGTACAGATAATGAAGAGCAGAAATGTAAATCAAGAGGGCAGAAAGTACCTTCCAGGCTCTCCAGTAGCCGCCAACTATGTTCTCCCGTCCGCGGGAGGTCGCACTCATATAGCAGTAGAGGGTAGCGAGGCTGGCGCCTCCCCAGTCATACTGGCTGACCTGTGATAGGTCCACCAAAGCACTGAGTAGATACAGTCCAACTGTGTTCCCCCTGTCGGAGAACAAAGTGGTCCCAAGGAGGAACATCAAAAAACCTCGAGCGTACTGCTCTATCTCCTTAAGAGTCTCGGGCATACTTCCCCTATACTGCACAGGGAACCAAGTGTACCTGACTTTGCCCAAAGATCGGTCAATCGGTGGGCGAGCTCCTAACAGATAGATCCAGGCAGCCTCCCATTGGCCCATATCCTCGTCGTAGGGGACCGGTCGGCCGGTCACATCAAGGCCAGTCAGCATCGCAAAGTCGAACGGGGTCATCGTCATATCCCCGGTAGCTGAGAAGTGGAAAGAGTTGGTGGTGTCCCACCATCTCTCCACGAGTGCCCCCATCAAGGTCCTGCTCGCAGGGTAGCGAGATAGCCCCGCGCAGAAGGGCCCAAATCCTACCCCGTCCACCATGTGATGAACAGTCTCTAGGAGCTCTCCATACCACTCCCTAGCGATAATCGAGCCGTAACCTCGCGTGGAACAGGACGGTACCTACATTCAAAATGAACAGATGTATTCAGTTTTAGAATAAAATGTATAAACTGCGTGCAAATGCAATGAATGAGCTGTGAGTTCAAAAGTGAAATGTAAGAACTGTGTGTTCAATATGCGCTGCGTGCAAATGAAAATTGTGGGCTGTGTGTTCACCTTAAGAGTTTGGGCTGCGTGTTCAACTTTCAAAAACTGTGGGCTGTGTGTTCACCTCAAATGTTTGAGCTGCATGTTCAGATTTCAAAAACTGTGGGCTATGTGTTCACCTCAAGAGTTTGGGCTACGTGTTCAACTTTCAAAAACTATGGGCTGTGTGTTCACCTCAAAAGTTTGGGCTGCGTGTTCAACTTTCAAAAACTATGGGCTGTGTGTTCACCTTAAGTGTTTGAGCTGCGTGTTCAGATTTCAAAAACTATGGGCCGTGTGTTCACCTCAAGTGTTTGAGCTGCGTGTTCAGATTTCAAAAACTGTGGGCTGTGTGTTCACCTCAAGAGTTTGGGCTGCATGTTCAGATTTCAAAAACAGTGGGCTGTGTGTTCACCATCAAAAGTTTGGGCTGCGTGTTCAACTTTCAAAAAGTGGGTTGTGTGTTCACCATCAAGAGTTTGGGCTGTGTGTTTAACTTTCAAAAACTGTGGGCTGTATGTTCACCATCAAGAGTTTGGGCTGTTTGTTCAACTTTCAAAACTGTGGGCTGCGTGTTCATGATAAAAAGTATGAACTGCGTGTTCAGAAATTCGAGTGATTGAGCCGTGTGTTCAAAATGCAAACAGAATGCTATGTTATAGACTAAGTGTTCAGAACAAGCTGTGTGCCCACTCAACAGAATTCTGTGCTATGAGATATGCGCTAAAAAATAAGTGGAAATATGGTGTGCAAATGTGTTCAGAACGAGCGGATAAGCATACATAGCGAAAGTATGAAATGTGCATGAAATGCAGAATACATTGCAAAGAATGTAAAAGTGAAGTGCGTACCTCTCGTGCCTAATAAGAGAGATGAGTCTCTGGCTCCCGCAGCAACAGATCCGCAGGCGCTCGGTCATCAAAGTCAGTGAAATGGTAGAAAGTGGCCTGAGGAAGGATGTGCTTCCGAGGATAATATCTCTCGGGATCAAACGGACGAACTCTCGGGGGCAAGGACACGATGTCCGGCTCACCCTCGGCACCTGGAGGACCTCCACCATGAGGAAAATGACCCGCCATTTGAAGAAATCTTCAAAAATGAGCAAAAATGAGCAAAATGAGCCAAAATTAGAAAAAGTCAACAAAAGTCAACTCTCGGGAAATGAAAAAGTCAACAAAAGTCAACTCCTGAGAAAATGTTCCAAATTTTGAGACAAACGTACCCCAAGTGGTGAAAATGAAGAAAGAGGCTCCGAAATCAATCGGTCCAAAGTGAAGAAAATTGAAAGATTTCGCGAAACAACTTTGCGTGGGGCGTTGGAAAGCGTGTATAAAGAGCAGATCTGAGAGAGAAAATGGTCTAGGAAAGAAGGAGAACTGATTTCGGCCTTGAGGTTGTGAGCAACAGTGATTGGGGCATGTGGATTTAAAGAAACAAGTGTAAAAAGACAAAACTGTCCCGGATTTAGCAAAGTGGTTGGCTGACCACATTTCCTAGCAGGCCGACCATCCCTTGAACAACCACTGGTCGGCGGCCTCTCTAGGTGGTCGGTCATCCTTCTTGGGTGATCTCCAATGTCTCTTTGAGCTCCCTGCAAATTTTGGTGGTGATTAGAGTCCCCGGCACTCAAGAAAGTACAAGTAAAGTGCACTTTTCGGCGTGAAATCCCTCCGCGGGAACTTCAAATCCAATATTCGACGCATGGCTCGTCATTACTCACCAAGAGCAAGGTGTATCCTTTTCGAGTACGTTGCAACCCCTCCGAGAGGTAAATCGGAGGTCGCATTTGAGTTGCCCTCGTCGAGGCTTGTTTTTCTTTGCTCGATGGTTTTGTTTCAAACATGCTTTTGAAGTTGCGCTTATCTTGCATTGTTATGCACGTCACTGGCATTGTTATGCACGTTTCATTGGCATGTCATGCCCTCCATGCTTACCTTGCGTTGTTGCGCACGTTTCTTCTTGCATTGCGATGTACTTTTTTATCGGCACCATTCTTGTCTGCGTTCGATATAGCATTGAACATATGCTGCTAACTATGTTGTGCCTGTTAGGTTTCTCTCTTTTGCAGGCACGATATTGTATGTACGGTTCATTTGAAGCTGGTGCGACTAGACGAACCGAACAGGTATTGTACCTTCTCCGTGTGAGACGTAGAGAGAATTATAATTCTCTTACATTCTTACTACATGAAATGTAGTTTTGCTTTGCATTCTTGCTTAAAACTGTTGCATTTATTATGAATATTTGCTTCATTATAGCTTGCTGCTTTGCATGGTCATGAGTTACGTTCGGCTTTGTGCATGTCATTTTGTATTTTGCCCCCCTACCTACGGGCCTCTCTCTTGCTTATCTCGCCTATTTGTCTAAGTCTTCGGCCTTGTCAAAAATGGGTCGTCTCTGGGCTTTGACATTCACTCCCGTCACTTATGACTTTTGAGTTCTATCAAAGAGGGGCAATTGTAGATACCCCATTTTTTACCAACCTTAAGACTCAGACGTCATCGATTGAGCGCTCGGTGATTGCGTATGTTGTGCTCGTTCTGAGGTTACGGAGTCTCGGCTGAGAGCCTTGCCTCCGGACTTCGGGACTCTTTTGTGCTTTGCCTCAGTTTGCGAACCAGGTTCTGTTTTCTCTTCCCGAAGGGAGGGAAAGGTCTCGTAGACCATCTCTCAGTGGTCGTAGGCTACATTTCGTGGTCGTAGGCCACTGTTCCCGTTTGGAGACCAGTTTCTGGTTTTCGGAGTCGTCGGCCGTGCGCCTCAGTTCGGGACCGCTTAACTTTCTCCGTTTGCTCCATTTTTTGGCACACACCTTGTTCCCTCTCTCTAGAGGGACACTATGGCCCGGGAGACCACCTTCGTGGTTGCACGCCACTTTCGATGCTTAACAGTCATTTTTCGGAGCACTCGGCTGCGCGTTTTGGCCCCCGAACCCTTGTTTCGCATCCGTCTTGGTTCATTTTTGGTTTGGACCTATTTTCATTGTTTGGAAGGTGGTACAAGGATGGGAGACCACCTTTTCTCCTTGGAGACCACTTTTCTCCCACCGGCCGATTTTCTTGTCAGGTAGCTGGTCTCCCTCACTTTTGGGCCATAATTACTGGTCTCCTACCATACCACTTGCTTGCATTTCATGTGGAGACCCTCATTAGAGGCTGCCGACCATCTTTTGTGCATTGACCCTTTTGACCCTAGTCGGCCGACCAGGGTAAGTGGTCGGCCAACCACTTGAGCTGGTCGGCCAGCTTCCCCCTTTTCTGTCTCATTGAGTTGATTCTAGCTGTGCCAGCTGGAGGGCACACACTGGATCCTCCATACACGTGTATGGAGGATCTTCACTCTTGGTTTTAAGCTTCTAGGAGAAGTTTTGGACCCTTGGCTCTATAAAGGAAGGGCTCCTCTTCCTTTGCAAGGGTTCAAGAGTTGGCTAAGGCTCATACATACATATCCCTCTATATCTCTCCCTTTAGGCCTTGAAAGGTTGAAGTTCTTGACCCCTTTGCATACCATCTCCTAGCACAACACCTCCACTATCAACCTAAGCACCTTGGAGCTTGTTTTCAAAGGCTAAAGAGTTGCTGTTTTGGTCCAGAAGTTATTGGAGTGCTTGAGCTTCAAGGGTAACACCCTATTCCCTCTTTTTGGTTTTTATTTTGCTTCATCTTTTAGCTA